TTATTCTCATTCTACGTGACTTTACCGAAAGAACCAAAGAAGATTTTACCCCATTGTTTCAATTTGCACGCCGGGAGATCGAATGGAACCGGCTTGCCAAAGTTCAGTGTCGCTAACCACGACAACTTCACCCAAGTTCAAAAGTTTCATTTATTAGGCGTAGCCCTGTGAGCCATGCGGCTCTTAAGTCGGGTGCCACCGCAACAAACAACCCCCCCACACCCCCACCCCCGTCATCCACCTCCATCGTGTTGCAGTTACAAAAGGCAAACCAAAAAATTCGTGTTTTTTTTTAAATTGCGAGACATTTCTGTGCGTCGATGATTCAAGCGACAACAAGGGAAAAAAAACGGGCAACCGATTTGCGTTTTGTAATCGTTTTCCATGCGGCGCATCGGTGTAATGCAACGACAACAGAAACGACGACGACAACAACAACAAATATCTCGGCCACAAGACAACAGGAGGGCCAGCGGCGAGTGGCGGAAATCGCCTTTGTATTTGGTAGCTCTGATAGGGCGGGGCGGGGTGGGCGGGTGGCGGGCCCCCTCCCTCCCTCCCCTCCCTCCCTCCTCTCCCCACCCACGCGCCCCTCCCCTCACGCAGCACGTGCTCCCTCCACGCGGACGCGCGCACCGCGCATGCGCAACTCGAGGCGGCGTGCAACTCCTCGCCGCCTCCCCGATGCTCTTACACAGCCCCCGAACCCCCACTTCACCCCCCTCAAACCCCACCCCCGAACCTCCACCCCCCCCCCACCACGTGGTACCCGCGCCCTCCCACGCCCCGGCGCCGCGCTCCCATTGGTCGGCGCCGGCTCGTGTTTACAGCGGCGGGCCACGCCTACGCGATGACGTCGCCAACCGCGAATGAAACCGGCGGCGCGCGCGTGCGACGTCACGAGCCGGCGGGTGCCGCCTTTGCCCGACGTCATTTGCACCCCCCGGACCCCAACGCGTGCTGGCGCGCGTGACGTCACCACGAGGGGGCGGGGGGTTGCAGGGGGAGGTTAAAGCCGCGCGGTGGAGTGGATCGTGTGGCAGAGGCCGGAATGGAATTGGATCGCACAGCCGCACCCGTTCATTCCCTCCGCACCCCACCACAAACATATACTTTGTTATTCTTGGTTCTTTAGGGAAAAGTCACGTAGAAGGGAAACAATAAAATAATAAAAATATAAAACAATACGTGGATGACACTTTTGTCATCTGGCCACATGGCCGGCCTGCTCTAGACCAATTCCTCGACCACATCAATTCCATACACCCAGCCATCAGATTTACCATGGAAGTCGAAAAATATGGCAAGCTACCTTTTTTGGATGTCCTAATAAAAAAAGACCTGATGGTTCAATGAGCCACTCTGTCTACAGGAAAGCTACCCATACGGATGCTTACCTGAAACCGGATTCCCACCACCATCCATCCCAGAAGAATTCCCTCATCAAAACTCTGCACCATAGAGCCCAATGCATATCCGACCAGGAACACATAGCCAGTGAACTCAAGCACGTACACCAAGCTCTCAAGGCTAATGGTTACTCCGACTACACAATCCGCAAAACCATCACTCCAACCATGAAGAAGGATCCTCTTGAGGAGCCTTTCAAAACCATCACTTTACCCTACATTGCGGGGATCACAAAATAAATCTCCAAAATCTTGAATAAACACAAGATCCAGGTCCGATTCAACACATACATAAAATCGGTGATCTGGTTCCGTCTGTAAAATATGTGATTCCGGACATACAGTACCCTGGCGTCTACAAACTAAGTTTCCTCTGTGGTAGTAGTTACATTGGAGAAACCAAACGACATGTCTCGGACCGCATTCGTGAACACAAAGCAGACCTTAAACACGGTAGGACCCACACCTCGGCCGTGGCAGATCACTGTTATAATTCAGTAGGCTCACATGACATTGACTTCTCCAAGACAGAGGTTCTTTGCAAGCCATCTGGCTACCATGAGAGATTCGTTCATGAGGCTATCCACATATACAAACACAGAGACAATTTCAACCGAGAAGATGGATTCTGGCTTAGCAATCATTGGAAGGATTTGATCAACCATTTCGGGTCTTAATTGATTGTTCACGCTTACGGTGGCTTTCAGGCCGCATCCATTATTTTCGTCTCCCCCCCCCTCCTCTTTTCCGAACATAGATGGACTCGTTCATCTGAATAACTGCCAAATCGTTCTCCGTGGTGCTAACGTTAAAAATCCGCCACTTTTTTCAAATTTTCTTGCTGTGGTTTTCACACCTGATGACGATTGCTTGTGTTGCAGTCAAAACGTCGTGAGAATTTTATTGTTTTATATTTTTATTATTTTATTGTCTCCCTTCTATGTGACTTTACCGAAAGAACCAAGCATATGAATCCCTGCAGTCACGAAAGCTTTAAATCAAAATATATACTTTGTTATTGCGCAGTGTACGCCAGTGACATTCACAGTAATTAGCGGTGCAAATTGCGCCACCTGTGTTTCTCTCCCACGGTGGACGTCCATTGCCAGGAGTTAGGCCACTGGTGTGGGCGGTGTGGAGCTGAATTGTGATGAGACACAGCTACCTCACGAAGGTTCTTACCCAATGCATCGGCAAATGAAACCGGCAGTCCCCCCTGGTTACCTTACAGCGGTGGCACAGAGCAGCTTAAGGTGTGGTTGTGCAGGCTTGCAAGTGTGTTTGCTAGGCTCCAAAACAATTTTCTGCGGGAGAATTGACGGTTCAAATTAGTGGCGGGGCGAATTGCAACATTGGGAACGCACCCGAAATGTAACTTGAACTGTGCCCATATCCTCGAGGCTACGACATGATAGCCCCGAGATTGAGACAATTGCTCAGTTCATCTTGGGCCATCTGGAAGGTGCTTGTTTTGGCAACGCTACATTCATGTCGCTCTATTTTTCCCTTGCGTATGATTGCGATATCGGTTGTACAAATATAGGGTGCAATGCTGTATGGGGCACATTCATATACGTTTATTGTGAGTAGGCATGCATTGTACTCTAGTGGTAGTGCCTTTGGCTGATGACTCTTACTCCAATCCAGACTCTAGCAGCGATCTGGAATATATTGATGTAGAATACATTTTTTTGGATAATTACAATTGAGACTTATTCTCCAATTTCAATAAAAATAATTTCACAAGTCACTTTAATGTTAAGGTAAAATGATACATTGTCATTGCTGCCTATTAAAAGATAACAGTTTAGGGTTATAACACGGATGCAACATGAAATACATGCGGATTAAGGGAAATATAACGTGTAATAAATGTAACTTGTGTTAATGATATCATCATCAGTAGCAGCTATGATCAATCCATGACGGCCTCTCCAAACCATTGCTATAATCTTGATTTGAAGCTTTCGTGACTGCAGGAATCCATACTCTTTGGTTCTTTCGGTAAAGTCACGTAGGTAGATTTTATATTAGTTTATTTCTACCTACGTGACTTTATCGAAATAACCAAAGATCATTGCTATAATGGCATGGTTTAATTCAATTGCTCCATCTCCGTGGTGTAAGCCCTCTCGGTCACATTCCCTCCGTTGACTGCCACTCCGTCATTAGGGGGGGGGGGGGGGAGAGATCCTTGGATGAAATGCGCCTTACAAATGTAAATTATTATTATTGTTAGCTTTGACCATCGCTCATTTTCACCCCGTTCTAGTGACCAGGCCCTGCCCCCTTGTCTCTCATCAATAGAGCGTGGCCTCTAAAAAAAAGTTTTTTTGTTTGTAAGGAACCATAATTTGCAATTATTGTATCAATTGCCTAATATATTTGATCAGTCAACTATAAATCAAGTAGGTGCTTATCAGAGCCAGACTCTTTTAGAAGCTCTCACACAAACCCAAACCGCCTGAACTGCGTCTCTCCACGAATGATGAAAGGGTCCCGACGGACCAGAAGTGCAGCGTTATCGTGCAAGCATTTTGAGACGTTGTGATTTTAACCTCGTGCCCGGCCCAATGCAGTTATCGCACAATAATAAATGAAAAAATAAATAAATATACATTTCGCCTTCAACATTCGGTAACGGGAGAGAAAAAAAACACAAGAGCCACGCCGACACTACGATCCAGAATCCACATCACGCGCTGCCACCGCGCCGCTGCGGGTTTTGCTTTGCTGCGCGTGGCGCGCACCCGAAGTGTTTTGACGCCGAGTGTTGGGGCGGGGCGGTGCCCGAGACGGTGCCCCCCCCACCCCCAACAACAACCCAAAGCCCCCTCCCCCCACATCACCGCGTGCGCTTATCCCGGGTGGAGATTCTAGCGCGAAGGGCGGGGCGGGGCTAGGTTGTGTGTGTGGGGGGGGGGTTTAGAGCTTGTGAGGGGCGGGGCTGCAGGAGGAGGAGGAGGGGGGCGGGGCGGGAGTGCGAGCCCGCCATTTTGCGCGGGGTGGCGGTATTGTCCCGATGAGCCGGGGGGGCACGGGTTGCACTCGTGCGGGCGGTCTCCTCGTCGCCTCGTCTACAGCCGGCGTCTGCGGCCTTGCGGCGGCCGCTGCTGCTGCTGCTGCCGCGGCGTGCAAGGCGATCGCGTGTCGTCCTCCGGGAGTCGGTGGTTGAGCGGTGTGGTAGTGGACAAGAGTCGCTTAATCCGTGCTCCGCCGGATCGGATGTCATCGGTCGTGCGTGGCGCGGACTCGTTTACCTTTCTGGGGTTTACGAAGCGAAATTTGAAGTACGTCAAGCACTGGAGATAACAGGAAAGAGAAGACGGGCGGGCGGGCGGGCGTGCGTGGGGTGGTTTTGTCATCGGTGAAGTCGATTTGGCGGTCGCCGCAATGTTATTAGCGGGCGTTAGTTAGCGTGGTCGTCTCGGGGAATATATAGCAAAACAAAAAGGTTGAGCTTTCATTGAGCTTGCTTGCTGGCTGCGGAAGAGGGGGTGGGGTGTGAAGGGGAGGGGCCGTGTGCACGTGCGCGCACGTCCCCCCCCCCGCACGCGCGCGCGACCCACGTGTGCGCGCCGCGCGTGCGCATGCGCGGGCTTCCACGTGCGTGCGCGTGCGCGCCTGCCTTGGCGTAGCGCGCACGTGTGTACACATCCACCACCACCACCGTCGCCTCTCCACGTCGCGCCGACATGAACATCGACACGCTGCTGGAGGCCGCGCGATACGTGGAGTGGCAGGACAAGCAAGGATCGCGCGGTACGTCTCAGACGCCCATGGAGAGTTGCACCCCAGGCTGGCATCACTGACGGCGGCGGGGATTGCGGCTTTTTAATGTCTTTGGTGGGTGGGCGAGTGCGAATGGCGGCTTCCGCGTGCCCCACCTGCACTTTTAGTCGCTGGACGATCGGAATACCGCATTGGTAAAACAAAAAAAAAATCGATCATTCGTTCTGAACAAATTGGACGTGCTGCGGTTAATGGGTGGTGGTGGAGAGGAGGAGGAGCGGGGATGGACCGATTCCACACTTGTCCCCGTGCCAAAGGAATGTGGAATTTCCAACTAGCGGGCATTGTCCCCTCCCCACCCTGTGCGTGCGTGTTTTGTACTTGCGGTGCAGTGGGGCACGTGGACCCCGCGTCACTTGGCAATGCCCCAGCGGCACGTGACGCGCACGCGTCGTTTGTCGGATTTCGTTGCAGCTTTTACGCGGTGGTTAACCGGTGGTAGTGGCAAGTCGGTACGACCGACCACGGTCACCAGCGGTTTGTGCCACCGACGAGTACAATGTTGGAGCAACATCGCTACTGATGACTTGTACAAGGCAGCGGCACATGTTTAGTACCGCTGGCTCGTGCTTGCTAAAGTACTTGCGGTCGTATCGCGAGTCGTTCGGACGTGTTCCGTCAGTGGTAGCTGCCGTAATAACCAACCTGTGTGACAACAGGCAGCGGTAGTGCAGCCAGTGGTACCGAACTTTTGGCAGTGGAGTGATCGACACCCCCACTACAGGCGATGGTAGCATTCCGTAGGGATGACGGTACAGCGGGTGGTGTTCGATTTCTCTTTGACCGATTTTTTTTAACATTTTAAGAAAATCCGCAAACGTCGACGGGAGCAGCATCGCGGAATTATTTGCAACGCTCATCTCGAGGTGGGGGGTGGGGGGAGAGACGTGACTCGGGTGAAGGAGTTGACACGTGCGTATGGATGGGGTAAATAACACATGCCTGGCTTCACGATGCAGTCCCCGAGTAAAATTAATTACAATCGCGGCGCATTTAATGTCGTTTTACCGTGGCCATGGTAAAAAAAATAACGGGCAAAAGCTTTGTTGCCGAGGCTTATCTATACATACAGATTTCTATGATCACACTCCAACATCGTACGCTTGTAGTCGGAAAAAAGATCCCTTCATCTCTGGTTTCAGAATCAGAGTATTCATTTGATACTGGGAGGAATCTGTCCGATGAGCTTTCAAGCTCTCTTTTACAGGTGCCCAGTCGGGGCCGGTAAGAACGTTACAACAACAAACAATACATAAAAACAATACACAAAAAACTACACTAAAAACAATGCACAAAAAGCAATACTAAAAAAACAATACACACAAAACAATACACGAAAAAACAATAAAAAAACAATACACACAAAACAATACACAAAAACAATACACACACAAAACAATACCCAAAAAACAATACCCAAAAAAACAATACCCAAAAAAACAATACACACAAAACAACAATACACACAAAACAACAATACACAAAAAACAATACACAAAAAACAATACACAAAAAACAATACACAAAAACAATACGCAACAAACAAAAACCCACGATAGATTTTTTGCAACCTTTGCACCACCACGTGTGTCAATCTACAGGGCATGTACGTTCACCTCGTGCACATTTTTGTTTTGTAATGTCCGTGCTGTTGCCTGTGCAGCAAAAAACAATAATTTCTCATTCCCGGCTTGGCCCCAGAGGAATTCCGCCGTCCGGGGAAAATACGTTGGAGATGCCCATTTGCGCGGAGATGATGTCACGGGGTTCGCGTCAACACCCTGCCGCCAAAGACAAAGATATCCCCCGTGTAGCATTAACAGACTGTCGGGACAAGTGCAGTTCGCGAGTAGCACCTGCGCAAGGGTGGGTGGGTGGGCGGATGGACGGGCCAGCAACAGCGCGCCCGACCGCCGTTGTCTCCCCAGGGGCCGAGTCGACCGCGGGGAAGGCCCGGGACCGGTTCAGATAATTGTCACTGCTGTTTTGGTGGCCGTGAGCGGGAATGGAACGCGGGTGGCTGGGTTCGTGGCGTAGCGCGCCGACCGCGCTACGCTGGCGCGCTCCCCCGGCTGAGGAATTCTCGCGTCGGGAGAGGAGACGGTGGAGAAGGCCATTTGCGCGGGGATGATGTCATGGGGTTTGTAAACGCCCCCCCCCCACCACCACCCTCCCCCACCATTCATTGCAATCTCGTCACTGCTTTGGGGATGGGCTCCTCCTTGAATGAAATGTCACTCTTTGGGAAAAGCCCTCCTTTGGGGCTGCGGTGACGTCTTGGCTCGGCAGCGTACACCTCCCCCCCCACCACCACCACCACCGGTGCAGTGATGTAATGCGTTCAGCAGCACCCCCGAATATTGCCCCAGGACAATGCACACACGCACACACCAACATCACATCACCACGGCCGCTTGCGAAATTGGAATTTTTTTTGTAGGAATAATGCTTTTGAGATGTGTCCTCAAACGCGGGTTTACATGCGCAACGCTACGTGTGGACTTGCCCTTAGCGGGTTGCATGTGCCCGTTCACGTGGCCACATGGCATCACGTTATTTGTGGAGGCAATTGTGGGAGGTTTTTTTTTAGCGCAGCATGAAAACCACTTTGCCATCGTCATCCTTCGAGCCGCCCTACGAGTGAAGCGTCGACATTTACGGGTACTGTTGTCAATCCGCTGCTAAGATGAGAGAGGCCCTTTCTGCTGCCGTGCGAGGCATTGCAGTTATTTGACCACACGCTGACAAACGCATATCAACAACAAAAACCCATTTGGCACTAAGACTGCTCTATAGAGGGAGAGAAACATGTAATTGAAGACGTTTCGGGCAATGGACCTTCATAGAGAGATTTGAAGGTACAACGACCAAAACGTCACCAGTTATATATAACATAAAAAAACAATTCCTCTGGAGGGGGAGAGTGTTATTGACGAATGTGAGTTTCTTGTCTGTTATTTGTACTTGTGCACCACTCCCAACGCTGCATCACATTTCTTGTTTAATGCGTCACGCCGGGCAGTGTCAGATGGTTAAAGGTGGGGGAGCATTGTGGAGTACAACAATTATTGTACTCTCCAATGCTCGCTGCCAACTTTACAGCGCCAAATCGACCTACAATCCCCTGTTTTCCGGAGAGTAGGCGCCCCCTCCCGTGCCCTCTCCGTCTAAGCTCAGCCGTGCTCCCCTTCCGTGTTTCCTGATGAGATCCGGTGATTTTGGTGCTCGGTGTTAAACCGAAATACAGTAAAACCTTGGATTGCGAGCATAATTCGTTCCGGAAACGTGCTTGTAATTCAAAGCGCTTGTATGTCAGTTGTGATCACGTGACGCTCGGCAGACAAAGCGTATACGTACTACTACTCGTATTGCAAGGCCTCGCTCGTTTATCAAATTAATATTTATTTTTAAAAAAATTGCTCGTCTTGCAAAAACACTCGCAGACCAAGTTACTCGCAATCCAAGATTTTTACTGTACTGAAATGTAACGTAACCTGACAAGCGGCCAGTGGTCCTTCAGGACAGATGGAGATCATTACCTCAAAACCGTAAACCTTAAAATCGGTCATTTCCTCTTGACATTAACTGCCCTGGCAGGCGGCATGAGCACAATGGCATCTGTATTATCCACTTTTGTGAGCTGTTCTCTCACAAAAGGGTCGCACTGCATCTGCGGGATCTATGATACTTTGTCTTGGCATGACGCCGACATTCACAATGGAGATAAAACCAGGGGATATGTATGGTAACGAAGCATACATTAAACACAGCCGCGTCAAGCGATGAAGAGTAATGGCTCGCGTGTGGTAGGTTTTTTTCCCCATTCATAATTTTCACCTGATGAGAAGCGTTTGTGTGGTTCTCCATAAGAGGCCAGCGGTGATGAAGGGTGTGGAAATGAATACAGTATGTAGTTATGATCAAGTTGAAATACAATTGAGGTAATTGGACGCTGCATCTCTCTGGCAACTGATAAAAACGTCTCGTGTGATGTCGTGTAATTAGTGTACTATACCTGTGATAGAGCGCACTTTTTACATTTAGGCCCCCTATTTGGTGTTTGAAGACGGCCGCTTGCGTTGTGGCCGAAACGTCGTGAGAATTTTATTGTGTTATTTTATTATTTTATTCTCATTCTACGTGACTTTACCGAAAGAACCAAAGAAGATTAATCTTAACACCTGTTTTATTGCCAGAAAAGGTAAAACCTATTCTTGTGTTTTTAATACTTTGATACTGGAAGTAAAGGTTCCATGTTATTAAGGCCCCCCCCCCATTAAGACATTTATTTAATTTGGTACTCCCTACATCAATGTGGGACTTAATTATCCACCGTTACGTCCATGGAGTGCTGAAGGGTCTTTTTAAAACGGAGGAGACTGTTCAATATGGAAATGTATTACCGTGCTGTGGTCGGTCGTGAGGAATGGCGTTGGGAGAACCGTGCTTTATATTTACAGACTGGTCGGTCGTGCGGAGCGTTAATGTGTTAACGTTGAATACTTGAGAGCCTATAGTTGTGCCGTGTGATATCTTTAATCAAGCCCTCTGGTCAAAGGAGTTGCTTTCAATTTACTACTTGTGCATCTCCGATAAGCACGTTTGGCTACATACAGTGAGGGAAAAAGTATTTGATCCCCTGCTGATTTTGTACGTTTGCCCACTGACAAAAAAATGATCAGTCTTTAATTTTAATGGTAGGTTTATTTGAACAGAGACAGAATAACAACAAAAAATCCAGAAAAACGCATGTCAAAAATGTTATAAATTGATTTGCATTTTAATGAGGAAAATTATTTGACCCCCTCTCAATCAGAAATATTTCTGGCTCCCAGGTGTCTTTTATACAGGTAACGAGTTGAGATTAGGAGCACACTCTTAAAGGGAGTGCTCCTAATCTCAGCTTGTTACCTGTATAAAAGGCACCTGTCCAGACGTAATCAATCAATCAGATTCCAAACTCTCCACCATGGCCAAGACCAAATAGCTCTCCAAAGGATGTCAGGGACAAGATTGTAGACCTACACAATGCTGGAATGGGCTACAAGACCATTGCCAAGCAGCTTGGTGAGAAGGTGACAACAGTTGGTGCGATTATTCGTAAATGGAAGAAACACAAAAGAACTGTCAATCTCCCTTGGCCTGGGGTTCCATGCAAGATCTCACCTCGTGGAGTTGCAATGATCATGAGAATGGTGAGGAATCAGCCCAGAACTACACGGGAGGATCTTGTCAATGATCTCAAGGCAGCTGGGACCATAGTCACCAAGAAAACAATTGGTAACACACTATGCCGTGAAGGACTGAAATCCTGCAGCGCCCGCAAGGTCCCCCTGCTCAAGAAAGCACATATACATGCCCGTCTGAAGTTTGCCAATGAACATCTGAATGATTCAGAGGACAACTGGGTGAAAGTGTTGTGGTCAGATGAGACCAAAATGGAGCTCTTTGGCATCAACTCAACTCGCCGTGTTTGGAGGAGGAGGAATGCTGCCTATGACCCCAAGAACACCATCCCCACCGTCAAACATGGAGGTGGAAACTTTATGCTTTGGGGGTGTTTTTCTGCTCAGGGGACAGGACAACTTCACTGCATTAAAGGGACGATAGACGGGGCCATGTACCGTCAAATCTTGGGTGACAAACCTCCTTCCCTCAGCCAGGGCATTGAAAATGGGTCGTGGATGGGTATTCCAGCATGACAATGACCCAAAACACACGGCCAAGGCAACAAAGAAATGGCTCAAGAAGAAGCACATTAAGGTCCTGGAGTGGCCTAGCCAGTCTCCAGACCTTAATCCCATAGAAAATCTGTGGAGGGAGCTGAGGTTCGAGTTGCTAAACATCAGCCCGAAACCTTAATGACTTGGAGAAGATCTGCAAAGAGGAGTGGGACAAAATCCCTCCTGAGATGTGTGCAAACCTGGTGGCCAACTACAAGAAACGTCTGACCTCTGTGATTGCCAACAAGGGTTTTGCCACCAAGTACTAAGTCATGTTTTGCAGAGGGGGCAAATACTTATTTCCCTCATTAAAATGCAAATCAATTTATAACATTTTTTTACATGCGTTTTTCTGGATTTTTGTTGTTATTCTGTCTCTCACTGTTCAAATAAACCTACCATTAAAATTATAGACTGATCATTTCCTTGCCAGTGGGCAAACGTACAAAATCAGCAGGGGATCAAATACTTTTTTTCCCTCACTGTAGGGTGCAAAAGATGTTCAACATACAAAAATAACATTGTACAACGAGTATCTTATGTCACTACAGGTTAATACACATTTATCGTTGCTGTAATCAACAATTTACAACTTTTTAATACAATTATGATGCTATATTGTGTTATCTTTATATCTTTAAAAAGCTTTTGCATAAATCTGCAGGTTTAATGATGCCACTGTTTAAACACTTGCCATCGCACCTACCTCACTGTCCCATCTTCGATGAGTGTGCGATGCAAAAATAACAGCTCTGCTTGGCCAAAACTCGCAAGGCCTTTAAATAGAAGTAATGAAAGGTGTTGACTTGTGTTTTCAGCGGACAAGCTCGAGATCTCGTTGGAGCGCGATGTGGAAGGCCGGCTGTCGAACGGGGACCATACCCCGCATGTGTACACGCTCGTGCTACCCACCGGCGCGCTGCTGCCCTCCGCAGCGACGCCCTCCTCGGCTCGGCAGCCCACGAACGGCACGTGCGATGCTCACACGGGCGAGCGCGTGCACGCCGTCTCGGCTGTCACCGGCGCCACTGCTCCGCCTTCGACCCTGCACCATCACGGCACCCCCCAGGGCCCGGGGGGGGCGGCGGTGGCGGCGGCGGCGGCGGCGGCGGCGGCGGCAGTGCCGCCCCCATCGGCCAGCTCGACATCCGACCCGAGCAAATTGACGCCCGATTACAAGAGGTTCGCCCCAACGCAGCCTCTGTTGGCCGGCACAAATGCCACACCAAGGTCCGGCCTGGGTGGTCGGGCTGCTCAGCAGCAGCAGCAGGCGAACGTTGCCACAGCGGGTGGGATGATGGCAGTGACGGTTTCGCCATCGCAACCACCTCTCGCAGAGACTCCAGCCCCGATCCCAGCCCCAGTTAATGCTCGATTTGCGAACCCAGGCCGCGTCCTGCTTCACCATCATCAGAACCATCAGCAGCAGCAGCCCGCCTTGCTGCTGCCCGCGTCCACGTTTAAGGAGCCGTCGCTCTCTGCGGGTTCGGGCTCCGAAAGTCCCGGCCGAGCGTTCTCACAGGCCGCGGGGCCGGGTTCAGCGAGTCCGGGCCAAGCCGGGGTCACTGGCCAGTCGGCTCAGCCAGCGCTGCTACCGCCCATGGCGCCCAGCAAGGTCGTACAGGCTTCGCCAGATGAGCTATTTCCAGCCGATCAGAAGAGGAGACCAGGAGGGTCAGTACTCTGATTCGTCTCTGGTCTAGTCGATTAACCTCTGGTTGATTTAAGCTCTGGCCTAGTTCGGCTGCGTAAGTGATTGTTCAACTTTGGATCCTGGTTGCGTGCTTCCTATTTTTATCTTAGCAATGTGTTTCTTTGTGAGGCTTAACTTACGAGCGCTCTTTGCAAACCCGCGTCTATGGTTAACCCCATCAAGTTTTTTTTTTCCGTTTCTTTTCCGTAGCTGAAGGCTCAAAAAATATATATATCCGTTGATTAACATTTAAAATATTTTATTTATTTAACGAAAGCAAAATAAAGCCAAAAAAGTAAATGTCATTTATCCCTTTCCCGATAAACAGTGCCGGAACGAGGGAAGTCCACAACAAGCTCGAAAAGTCCAGGTAAGTTTTGCGACGGGTACTGGGAGAGGGACTTTGATATAGAGACCATTTTCCAAAACTGTCTTGCCGTTTTCTAAGAGAGGCCAAGTGAACAAACGAGGGCTTAAACCTTTGAAGCCGTTTGAAACCTTAACACGTGTTGAAATACACGGTGCTATCACGATGTACGTACGTAGATATGTTGAACTTCTTTCGCACCGTACATTAGCCAACCGTGCCAATCAGAGGTGCGGGGAAGGACAATGAACTAAACACGAGAAGCAGTTTTCCAGAGCGTCAATGAAGATGGTACCGAAACATAAAAGCTCGTGTTGATAAGCAGCGCTTTATGACAGCTTAAAACTCTTGCGCGGGTGTTGAACAATTTTCACACCACAGTACGCTCGGGTGCCACCTGAGCGTATTGAATTCGAAAAGTGTGTTTTTGTGCATTGCGCGAGACGTGCTCTCGTTCGGTAACGGCGAGCGGTCAGATTTGTCGAGTGTTGATTTTTCACGCGACTTCTTAAAGACGCGCTCGCACTGCGACGCCGTGCAGCTTAGAAGGTCAAGCTGCATAGCGGTGAGCTTACGCCTCGCGGTTTGGGTGACGGTCCACCCCACCCTGCCACCAAGCACCGCTGCAGAGTAGCCGCTGCACATAAGCACGCGAGAGTTGCCACGGTCGCGCAACGTCGTGCGCTCACGTTCACGTCAGGGTCATGTGCGGGGTGGGTAGGGGGGGTGAACAGCTTGGGCGGGCAGAAAAGAGGGTGGCGGCACTTTTAAGAATCAGAATATTTATAGTGGAGGAATCCGATGAGCTATAAAGCTCTTTATGACATGTCCAGTAGGGACAGGTTACAACAAACAGTACAAAAACATAGTACAAAGTAAAATAAATGTAAACAAATCACCCAAACACCTACAAATTAAACTAAACCATCCCCATCCTACAAGGTAAAGCCCACTAAGGTATGAACTTATTTTTCACAAGTGACCTGGCCATAAATGATGGCTCAACAAAGTGGCCCATCATTTGGATATTTACAGCACCAAAATAATCTGAAAAATCTCGATGCATGTTTGAGTAAAACCGGGGGGGGGGGGGGGGGGGGCGCATCGTCATAATGAGAGGAACAAATACTTTCACCTCGCGCACCGTGGTGAGCCACTCTGCCTACAGGAAAGCTACCCATAAAGATGCTTATCTGAAACCGGATTCCCACCACCAGCCATCACAGAAGAATTCTCTCATCAAGACTCTGCACCATAGAGCCCAATGCATATCCGACCAGGAACACATAGGCAGTGAACTCAAGCACGTACACCAAGCTCTTAAGGCTAATGGTTACTCCGACTATACAATCGGCAAAGCTATCACTCAAACCATGAAGAAGGACCCTCTTGAGGAGCCTTTCAAAACCATCACTTTACCCTACATTGCGGGGATCACAAAAAAGATCTTTAAAATCTTGAATAAACACTAGATCCAGGTCCGTTTCAACACATTACATAAAATCCGTGATCTGGTTCCGTCTGTAAAAGATGTGATTCCGGACATACAGTACCCTGGTGTCTACAAACTAAGTTGCCTCTGTGGTAATAGTTACATTGGAGAAACCAAACGACATGTCTCGGACCGCATTCGTGAACACAAAGCAGACCTTAAACACGCTAGGACCAACACCTCGGCCGTGGCAGATCACTGTTATAATTCAGTTGGCTCACATGACATTGACTTCTCCAAGACGGAGGTTCTTTGCAAGCCATCTGGCTACCATGAGAGATTCGTTCATGAGGCTATCCACATATACAAACACAGAGACAATTTCAACCGAGAAGATGGATTCTGGCTTAGCAATCATTTGAAAGATTTGATAAACCATTTCAGGTCTTAATTTATTGTTCATGCTTACAGTGGCTTTCAGACAGCATACATTAATTTTTCGTCTCCCCCCTCTTCCGAACATAGATGGACTTGTCCATCTAAACAAACTGTCAAATCGCTCTCCGTGGTGCTAACGTTTTAAAAATAAATAAATACAAATCGCCACTTTCAAATGTTCTTGCCGTTGCTTTTCACACCTGATGATGACTGCTTGTGTTGCAGTCGAAACGTCATGAGAATTTTATTGTTTTTTATATATATATTTTATTGTTTCCCTTCAACGTGACTTTACCGAAAGAACCAAGAATATGAATCACTGCAGTCACGAAAGCTTTAAATCAAAATTTAGTTTTTCATTGTAATGTGGTTTTAATTTATGTAGGAACAGGCGGTAGTCTACCAAGATGACGTATTACAAGGTTGTGCATCCACTGTCAATGTAGCGTCACCCAATTAACGTTCTGCAAGGGGGAGGAATGTAGGGAGCTTTATAACCACACCTTACCAGCCGGAGCGATTTCTGCTTCTCCGGTTCTGTCCTCTGTGCTGTTGCACAAAAGTTTGTTCCCTCGGTCTCCCTTAAAAAAAAAAGCCCCCCATTTACGTCTGCTTTGTCAAAGCCCCGTGGACGGTTCTCACGAGACCTTTAATAAATCTTTGAAGCACCAGTTTGCTTCGTTTGAAACGCCTTCACTTTCGGAGTAAGAAACGGGGTCTGAAGCGCAGGATTTTTGTTTGAAATGTATTGCCGCACGTGTGGTGTTTTCAAGAGCCCCCTGTTTTTTTTTTAATCTCGATGGCCGACGTTTGCGCTCTCGCAGTGCTGCCCCTTGCATAAGTAGGGGAATGCGTTACGGGTGGTCTTCGAACGTAAACGGTTTCATCCCGACCACGTTCCCGTTGATGTCGCGGGAGCGGATTGTGCATCGCGATGTCGGATCAGCGATCATTGCACTCCGAATCGCAGTATACGACGCCACATTCCAAAATGAAAAAAGACGCAAGTTTTTATTTTTGATACGTATCTTTGAGATTGTGCTTTATTGCAAAATATGCATTTGCAGTAATGCATCACGCGTGACGATAGTAACGGGGGAGCACCTGGCCAATATATTGAGGTCACAATAACTACGTTGACGGATCGAGATTCTGTGATACCGTAGATTCTATAATACGGTGTAAAATATAGTCCTGTTAGCATTCCAGCCTCTCCTGCGCGAGATTTTTGTTGTAAAGGGCAGACCTGTGACACTTGACGTCTCGATTTTTTTCATTTCATGTTTTTTCTCTTTTTGTGTACATGGCAGCGTCTTTCCTCTTGGCTCGAGCGATCTTCTTGTTCACAAGAGTTTTTGTTTGGGTTAGATCGCGTAAATATGTCGTTCAACCCGCCACCACCCGACACAGCCAATAAGTAAGGTTTGTCACGCAAACAAAACGTTTTAGAGAGTAAACCCACAACATTTACAATTCGAGTACGATGTTTTGCCAGTAATTACAACTAGCATCAGGCGACAGCGAGTAACAAATTGGCATGTTTTGTATACGTGACAAACCTTATTAATTGGCCGTGGCGGGTTTAATGACGCATTTATATTTATGCAATCTAACCCAAAAAAAACTCTGTTTGGGATAATACTGGTCGCCAAAGCCTGCTACGTGGTAAACTGATCTTATTGTTGCTGCACTCCTGTCCGGGTCCAGGCACGATGGGCATGACTCTCCCCCCCACCCCCTCCTCGCGCGTCTTGGCTAACGTTAGCGCGACCGTGAACAATGCGTGGTGGGCGTTTGCGCGATACCTGTGGCCCTGCTTGCCCGCAGGCGCGCTCACCTCAAGGAGTGCTTCGACGCGCTCAAAAAGATCATCCCCAGCATGGAGGAGAAGAAGACGTCAAATTTGACGATCCTGCGTGGAGCCCTGCGCTATATCCAGGTGCAGTGTTGAGGGGGCAGGCCGGGAGGCTGGGTGGGGGGGGTTTGGTTTTGGTGATTATCGCAGTGTCGACTCCGCAACAGGAGCCCGGATATGAGCACAGACATTTTTGTTATCAAATCCGACTCGTGAGCAACAATTGGTGTTCGTGTCATTGTGTCATTTTGCAGGGCTGTCGTGAGAGTGATGCGTGTTCGTGTTTTGGTGTCGGCAGGGGGGATGGGGGTGATGTTGCTGTTGAGCTTCACCCAATTCAGCAGATTGCAAGTAATTTTTAAATGTGGCATATATGGACAGGGATGCCGGTACACGTGGCCGACTCCTTTTCTGAATAACGTGGCAAGATCTTTTAACATCCACTGTGCCAGTTCTGCTACAAGCAAACACATCCTTGCATCGCTGAGGGGGTAGACACTTTGGATGTAAAACAAACCTGCTGTTGCTCCTAAGGGTTGTGCCTAATCATCGAACTGAAGCAATACAATAATAATTAGATGCAGCTGCGTGTCGTGGTGACGCGCATTCTGAGATGGTCGAGGGATTTTATTTTCAGGGGGAAGGAGAAGTTCGGTGGAGGAAGATGGTGGGTGGGGGGCAGAATCATCCAGAATATATTTTTTACCTGCACTTACAATTGCATTATTGGAGTTCTGTAAAGAGACACTTTATTTTTAAGCTCTCGTAGCAAAACCGTGCAAACCGTCTTGTGTCAAACAGCAAACGCACATGCTGTCAGAATTATGTTTAAATTCAATCGTTTAGCCGCTTGTTTTTTCCACATGGGGGGCACAACTTTTATTTCCCCTTTCGAAAGAGTGTTCGTTGCATATAAAACTGAACCTTTTATAATTATCGGCCTGAAGTGTGCCAAATGACGTGATAAAGCTCAACTTTAACATGAGTTTTTTTTTTTTTACAGTGCATTCGTTGGTTACTTCGCTGGGACCAACAACTGGCTACATTTGGGAACTTGTATAAATCTCGCACTCGCCTGAAATTGAACTCAGGTTGTCGGTGGTTCCAGATCCGTGCCCTGACCTTGTATTAGCCACCTGGCTACCGCCCCATAATTTATACTTGAGGGATTTAATTTCCAATGTGTAATCCATGTGATGGACAGTGCAGCAGGGTAGAACAGAATCATTGGAACAGGAATATGAAACGGGCCATCGGTCCACACCACTCGTCTATTCATTCACACCGTGTTCTATTCCCTCAATTTCAATCATGCATTCTCCTAGACTACTGTCCAGATGCCGCAAACTTATACGGCAGTTTTTTTTGAAAGCGCTCGTACAATTTTTCCTGCAAATTGTTCACAAGTCTTCCTGCAAATTGTTCACAAGTCTATTGCAACATAATGCAACTCTGAGAACGATTATCTTGAATTTATTCCGTGAAATGTTGCGTGCTAACCAAAACCACGTAACATGGCTTCACTCTACAGAATGAGGAAGCCCTGTCGTGCTTTTTGCCTTTTGTATATAACCGGCACTGGCCGCCCATTTGCGTGGGACACACACGACCGATGTGGAGGGTGGGTGGGTGGGCGGGGAGGCATGCCGTAGGCGCCACGCACGAACCCGGCTCAACGCTGTGGGATGGTGGGTGACCATCGTGCCGATGTGCCCAGCGATGGCGCACCACTGCACGCAAGCCGACCAACATGCGTATGAGAGCCAGCCAGAGAAAATGTTCTCATAGTGTGTGAAAGGATGTTAAGATTAGTGCAGGTGCAGTGAGGGAAAAAAAGTATTTGATCCCCTGCTGATTTTGTACGTTTACTCACTGACAAATGATCAGTCTATAATTTTAATGGTAGGTTTATTTGAACAGTGAGAGACAGAATAACAAAATCCAGAAAAAACGCATGTCAAAAATGTTATTAATTGATTTGCATTTTAATGAGGGAACCTGGCTTTTGATCCCCTCTCAATCAGAAAGATTTGTGGCTCCCAGGTTTCTCTTATACAGGTAACAAGCTGAGATTAGAAGCACACTCTTAAAGGGAGTGCTCCTAATCTCAGCTTGTTACCTGTATAAAAGACATCTGTCCACAGAAGCAATCAATCAATCAGATTCCAAACTCTTTGCCATGGCCAAGACCAAGAGCTCTCCAAGGATGTCAGGGACAAGATTGTAGACCTACACAATGCTGGAATGGGCTACAAGACCATTGCCAAGCAGCTTGGTGAGAAGGTGACAACAGTTGGTGTGATTATTCGCAAATGGAAGAAACACAAAATAACTGTCAATCTCCCTCGGTCTGGGGCTCCATGCAAGATCTCACCTCGTGGAGTTGCAATGATCATGAGAATGGTGAGGAATCAGCCCAGAACTACACGGGATAATCTTGTCAATGATCTCAAGGTAGCTGGGACCATAGTCACCAAGAAAACAATTGGTAACACACTTAGCCGTGAAGGACTGAAATCCTGCAGCGCCCGCAAGGTCCCCCTGCTCAAGAAAGCACATACTCATGCCCGTCTGAAGTTTGCCAATGAACATCTGAATGATTCAGAGGACAACTGGGTGAAAGTGTTGTGGTCAGATGAGACCAAAATGTAGTTTTTTGCATCAACTCAATTCTCTGTGTTTGGAGGAGGAATGCTGCCTATGACCCCAAGAACACCATCCCCACCGTCAAACATGAAGGTGGAAACATTATGCTTTGGGGGTGTTTTTCTGCTAAGGGGGCAGGACAACTTCACTGCATCAAAGGGACGATGGAAGGGACCATGTACCGTCAAATCTTGGGTGAGAACCTCCTTCCCTCAGCCAGGGCATTGAAAATGGGTCGTGGATGAGTATTCCAGCATGACAATGACCCAAAACACACGGCCAAGGCAACAAAGGAGTGGCTCAAAAAGAAGCACATTAAGGTCCTGGAGTGGCCTAGCCAGTCTCCAGACCTTAATCCCATAGAAAATCTGTGGAGCGAGCTGAAGGTTCGAGTTGCCAAACAGCCTCGAAACCTTAATGACTTGGAGAAGATCTGCAAAGAGGAGTGGGACAAAAGCCCTCCTGAGGTGTGTGCAAACCTGGTGGCCAACTACATGAAAACGTCTGACCTCTGATTGCCAAAAAGGGTTTTGCCACCAAGCACTAAGTCATGTTTTGCAGAGGGGTCAAATACTTATTTTCCTCATTAAAATGCAAATCACTTTATAACATTTTTGACATGCGTTTCTCTGGATTTTTTTTTGTTATTCTGTCTCACTTCAAGTAAACCTCCCATTAAAATGATAGACTTATCATTTCTTTGTCAGTGGGCAAACATACAAAATCAGCAGGGGATCAAATACTTTTTCCCCTCACTGTAGCATGCATACTTAGGTTTTTGGGGGTGGGGGGGGGTTAAAGCGTCAAGATGTTATAGTTTTCTCCCATGTACAACATCCAAAAGAATCGGTCAACAATCTCTACTAAGGAATCTTCTCAACGAGTCTTGGGATAACTGATTCTTCTTTCCTGGTTCAAAAGGAATACTTTAATGTATCGTTTAGCAATTTGTACTGTGGCAAGCGTGCTTGACTGAAAATCAGAAGGTTAAAAGTTAAAATCCCAGCCCTTAATTTTTTTGCGATCTAAAGATGAGTTTGTGTGAAGTTAATATTAGTCATCCGGTGCTCATGAGCACCGCTTCAGGCTCCTTTGAGCAGAGAGACGCTTAGAGACTTATTTTGTAATTCTAAATGTTGCGAGTGCTTTTGCGTAATTGCTGAATTGCGCGTTTTGGATGTCATTGTCACCTGGCATCAACTCGCCTATTCTTAGGAGGCAGGTCGTTTTAATAAGAGCAATTGTGAGCGGTTCGGGAGACCAATAGTGGTTTATATAACACGACATGAAATTCAAATCCATTGTAACACGCATCATACATGCTTTGAACCGTTTCTGTAAATTATATGCAAGTGTTTAATTTGGGTTTGAGCGAATGGGACTATACAAATGTACGACAAATGAGATGGTTAAACTGGATCCAAAACATTCTAGAAATCGAGTCGCGATCCTGATTTATAACTGTTCACCTAATCACGCAGTGGAGCGATTCATCACCTTGGCTTACGGCCCTTCGTTGTGACTGTCCGTGACCTCTGCCGCTCACAAAGGTGCTCAAGCGGAAGGAGAAGGAGTTTGAGCACGAGATGGAGCGGCTGGCCCGCGAGAAGATCTCGTCACAGCAACGCCTTGCCGACCTGCGCAACGAGCTGGGCGAGAGCCTGGACTCGGCGCACATTGAGAGCCTCCTGCGCCAGGCCATGCCCCGCGGGCCCACACCGCGGCCGGGACACTCGAATAGCCGCGGCGCCACCGCCGCCACCGATGACGACGAGGATGACTACGCGGAGGACGACGACGCGACCTCCACAGCCTCTGGTGAGCGACGGCTTCCCTGCATTCGTGTCGGGAGGGATGAACGATCAATCGAATGGGAGTGGTGGGGTGGAGGGGAGGTCACGTTGGCCTCTCTTCTCACGTGACTGATTGAGAGTGTGAGGTGTGATTTCGCATAGCAGGGCTCGGATTAAAGCGGGTGTGTCGCACGGTTGTCTGTTCAAGCAGTGGGTCACGCAAAATTGATAACTTTTTCACTTCACAGCTAAGCTGTGCCCGGGGGACCATGCCGAGCCAGCCCGTAAATGGACTTCAGAAGCATCGGTTTTGCGTTGCACCGCAGAAGCTGGGCAGCACTGCTAATGTCACACTCGAGTGTGAATGAGTCCGAGGTGCACTTAATTGACGCAGGGTGACGCTCTCCCTTCTTCAGTGTGCCACTGACTGACATCGCACGCAATGAATGCATCATTATGCCCCAGCCCCCTGGGCCCTGCTTGTCGCCAAATAAAATTCAGATGTCTGGTGAGGCCATATCATGGTTCTGGCTCGGGGGTCCTACACTGGCGCAGCTCTGGATGTGCCAGTCATTCCCACATTTTCCTGTTAGGCAGAGTTTACTAGAAATATGTTTTGTAATTTTCTTGTTTTAAAGATTGCATTTATGAATTTAACACGTAGGTTTTCGCAGCGAATATGATTCGTAATATTTTTGTTGGGTCCGATTGTCAATCATTTATTATTTCCCATCTGTATCAAATGACAATTAATTTCTGCCACAAACAACCGATGCACAAAAGATGGAACTGTCAGAGCATTGGCTAATTTTGCTCTTCAATGTTATCCCTCTGCTTCTTATGTCAAAATTGTCTCGCCAAAGCCTTTGGGTTCGAGGTAAATGAGCATCCCCCTCATCCTTAACATCCGGTTGAACCGATTTGCTTTGTTGCAGAGGGAGAAGAAAACGTGGATGAAGAACTGGAGAATTCTGGACCCGTCCTGCCTTCTGAAACACCATCGTGGTTCCAAAAGACAGCATCATCCCAGAATGTACCATCCCAGCCTCTTTCCCAGAGTGCACCGATGCAGCCTTTTTCCCAGAATGTAAAGGTGCAGGCTTTTGCCCAGAGTGCGCCTTGGCAGGCCCTTCCCCACGGTGCAAAAGGACCGGCGGCCAGTCAGAACGCCACGGTGCAGATCTTCGCCCAGCACACGGCATTGCAGGCTTTCCCTCAGGGTGCTCCGGTGCAGGCCCCTTCCCACGAGCCGCCTGTACAGACCTCTCAAAACGCGGCCCTGCAGGCGTTGGCGCAGCACGCGACCGTGCAGACTCTATCTCCACGTACCACGGTGCAGGTGCTCTCCCAGCTTGGCTCGCCAATACAGGTGGCTTGCCACCCTGCGCCGCCAACCGCGCCGTCCAGTGCGACGCCTCGTAAATCTCCACAGGCTACGTCACCGCAGCCGGCGGCGGCGGCGGCGGCGGCGGCGGCCGTCCGCCAGGTGCCAGCCGTCGGTCCGGGTCGGCACGTGGGCGCCCCGGTGTCCGCGGCCCAGCACGCGTCGGTGGTGCAGGCGGTGGGCGGCGCGGCGCCTCCCAGCTCCTCCCAGCAGCCCCTGCGGCCGCCGAAGCTGGCGACGGTAGTCGGCGCGCCGTCCCAGAAGCAGCACGCCCCGACGTTGCAGAACCACTACCACGCCGTGACGGTGACGCCGGCGACCGCTCGTGCTGTGGGCCCGGCGCCGTCGCACGCGCCGACGCTGCATCAGAGCGTCGCGCAGCACGTGCTGACGCTGCCGCACGCCCTGGTGCACGACAAGGCCGGCGCGGCGACCACGCTGAGCCTGGCGGCGGCGGCGGCGGTGCCACAGAGGGCCGTCGCGTCCGGCCAAACGTCGGTCATCCAGGCCCCGCTCGGCCACGCGCTTCACGTCCTCCGTCCCATCAACCCCGACGTGGGCGGCAAGCCCACCCTGGGCGGCGGCACGAGCCTACAGGCGGCAGACATTCGTGCCGTATCTGCCGCGGGCCCCGGCTCCCCGGCGATGAGCCACGCCGTGAGCGGGAGCCCCAAGGCGGCACCGCTGCTCATCGGGCAGACCGGTCCGCTCGGACACGTGACGGGGGCGCACATCCTTATCGGGCGGCCCAGCGCCGCAGTGATCCACGTGGCGCAGCCCGGCGTCCCGCAAGGCGTGATCGGTGGGGTGGGACCAAGGGGCGGCCCCCGTCTGACGCGACCCCGGGGGGCCCCTCCATCCGCGGTGACTCTGGAGGCTGCTCCGAAGGTGCCCACGCTCGTGCACCCTTTACCCGCCGGTGCTGTCGCCACCACCCACATCATCAGTTTGCCTGTCCTCATCGGGCAAGGCAGCGGAGCGGCCGGTCAGCTGGCAGCTGCTTCGGTCCTGGTCGGACGGCCGGGCAGTTTGGTGGAGCCGCACGTCGCTCCCGCCGTCGCCTCCGCCTTGGCCGATGCTCGCGCTGCTACCGCCAACGCCGCGGATGCACAAGCGCCTGCCGGCGACGCACTTCCTGCCGTGGAGCAGCCCGAGCCAGCCGCTGCCACGACCGCAGTAGAGACGCAGCGAAACGTGACGCCCGCAGGAAGAGCTGCGCCGGCGCCGGCGTCGGCGCCAGCAGCAGTGCCAGTGACTGTGTCGGCGCCCTCGCCAGCGCCCTCGCCTGCCCCGCCGCCACGAGATGCGGAAGCGCCGAAGTGAAGGGACGTTTCGTTGCGGCGTGGCCCATGGACGATTACGACGCCACGCTTTGTTTTTTTCGTTGCGCCTGTGCAGATGTGCCCATTGTGTATTTGCCCGTGAGGTGTACGAGAACGGGCGTGGACGAATTTGTGCACAAGTTATTCACGATGATCGTTTGGGTAGTGCCGGTCGGGTACATGAATGACGTTGGTTACCGTGCAGTCGAACTAGTGTCTTCCTTTGGCAAAAATGATCCGAAGTTTTCATTATTGTCGAAGGTTTAAATGTGTAGCTGAGCTAATTTAAATGATAGAAACCAGCTGACATTTGTATATTATCGTAATGTCAATTTTATAATAAATGGAACTTTTGTACATATTAATTGCTGGTATATACTGTGAAGATGTGGCAAGTGTGTTTATTATAAACCGACCCTGTGTGTTGCTTTGGGATGCTTACTAAAGCTTTGCCCAGCTGCATTTACACGAAGGAAAGAGTAAGCTCTTGAAAACGCTTAACTGATGTAATTTACAGTAGCCGATGGTCAAAGTCTATTAAACACTTAATTTGTAATATTTTTTTTATATTACAGCATAGCATTTTGGTATTTTGGCTAGTGCAAGCTTTACATTCGAGATAACTGTGCGTGAGGCAACGTGCGTAGCAGTGCAATATCCTGTGTCCTGTGCGAGTCCCTTGGGCGAGTCGTGGGGGCGCCGCACAGCGGAAACCATCCCGCTCCCGTGTGGCGGTGGCTCACATAGTCACATCCCCCACCTTCCTCAACAACGAAACGTCTCTTGTCGGCCTCAGCGATCTGCGCCCAGAGCTGGTTCACATGACAACCAAGCCTCTGCCCGGGCAACGTGTTCTTTCGTATGAACGCGTGGGTATTGTTGACGACGGAAATGAGAAGTCTGCAATGGGTGAGCAAGCCAGGTGTGTTGTGGGGAAGTTTGGGAGAACTCTAGCTACGTGTTATAGCTTAGCGACTGGTGGTAACCGAAATGTTTCGACGGCCCCTGAAGCTGCCCTTGCTTTGGCTTTGTGTACACAGTTATGTGTCCGTTAAGCCCATAAGTCATAGAATAATGATTTTATCTCGGTGGCTTAACTTGGCCCGAGGAGACCAGAAATACATTTTAGGCGATTTTTTTTTGGTCCAAAACATTTTCCTTTTTGCGACATCACCGGAAAAATGTATCCAACTTGGCCAATTTTGTTGTTGAAGGATTTAATCATTGCCATTGTGAAATAATAGAATCTGAACATGGGATGTGGACAGTAATCTCCCACAGGTAAAACAAACATTGACCATTGTATTTCCCCTTTACTCAACATCTTACAATATTACCCGTCCACGTAACAAAAGACATACAGCTAGAACTCGGTCGGCAGGATGACATTGCCGCATTCTTTGCAACCAATGCGAGACCCCTCCGAATTAGATAACCCCTCCTCCCCCCCCCCCCCCCGTGCAAGGCACAACAAAGTATCAAAACATTACATTCCAAGGCGCCTCGGACCAAAATGAACAACGTTACAGCAGTACCTGGCGCAGCCGACAGAGGGAGAGAACGCATCGCAGGCAACACGAGCTTTGACGTTTTCTGCATTGTGCAAGCAGCAGAGTTCGCATTGGGCAAGCTGTAATTAGGAAGAAAAAAAACGAGTGGCCAAGCTTGTGTGCAAGAGAAAAAAAAGGTGTTCTTAACCAGTTGCGCATATTGTGCTCCAGCTCATTCGGCTGTTTCGTATTCCGGACCTGGCACCGAATACATTCGCATGCCACACTTTTAACACGTGCCGCAAGCACACACACACCGCTGTTGAGCGTGGGGGAGGAGAGATGCTCATTTGACGACGCCGTGCGGATTGGCTATGCTTCACCGTGGCTTGTTTAAATCGACTCGCATACTGTCACCGTGACAATAGAGGGACGGCGTTTTTTTAAAATGCATTTTTGCACTCGGATATTTTCTAACAAAACTGAAGGTTTTTTTTAATGAAACAGGTTCTTTTATTTTTGACCGGGCATTGCAGCTGTACTGTTCTTGCGACCTTGCTCTTGTTTGTCTTGAAGCGGTCTGTCATTTATGAGCAGTCGGGGGGATGGGGGGGGGTCACATTAAGCGACCTGTATTACCCTGGTTGAGCATTGTAATTCAGATTGTGTGTGTGTGTACGTGGCGTACATTGGTCTCGATAACATTTCCCATTTAAACGGTGAGAAAAAGGGCGTTCATAAAAAAAATATTAATTACATTTAGGATTGTTGTAGCGTTATGCCCATTTTAAAGGCCTGCTGTGATTCTAACGGCCACCCAGAATATGCCAAAATACTCCGAATGATGTATTAATTATCTCAAAGTTGATGCCGACCATCAAGCACTTGCCAATTGCAAGACGTCTCATCGTCATCTTTGTCGAGGGAGGCTCAACTAATTCAACACCCCCTGCCTCGATGCTTCGTGGTGTTTGTTATGGTGACGTTTCATTCGCGTAACTGTTGTGTGTCATATGGCAGTCGCAGGTACTGAAATTCACGGTACTGCAATGCAAATTTATTGGAAATATTTACTGGCTCCGCCATTGTACAACAGCCGTATTTGTACATCAGTTTAGAATGGACGGCTGCACGTGAAAAGGTGGCTGTTGATGATTGATGGTCTTGCGTCAATCGATCGATAATTGGGGGGTGGGTCTCATCCATCAACCAATAAAGTGGGCACTTCACCATCAGCCAGGAGATACGACATTCCGTGTATAGCCTACCCCCCCCCCCCCAATCCATAACCTTGGTTTTGGGTATGTGGTGGTTGTCCTATAACTGTCTCCCATCGTGGAATGTGGAATGTTTACATCCTCAGGGCTGGCAATGGAGATTGAGCACGCCTCCCCCATACTCACTTGAACGTGGTCACACTAACGAGGGATTCATGAGGATACCAAAATTTAGAATACAACGAGAAATGCTCTATAGGTCAGTACAATGAAATTAGTTGGCAAATTCCTGGACGTTGAAATATCTTTTTAGGGTGCGTACGAAATGTTTTGTGTGTTTTACATCCGATACGTCTTTGGGTTGTGCCTCGTGTTGTTCGGCCTGATGTGTGACGATGCATCCACGTGCTGTTTTGCTTCTGATTCAGTTCCGATGACGTACACGGGTGCGTCATGACGTACGTCCAATGGAATCGAAATAAAAACTTACGACATACACGTACGTCATGATGTACACGTACGTCATTGTGACGTCATTGGAAGAAAAACGTAACGACGCATGTGTACGTCGTAGGAAGGAGAAAAGGTTAAATTACCCCTCAAGGTGTGGATGATGTTGGGATGATTATTTTGCCACCGTTTGTGTATTCAATACTTTAAACATTTTTTTTACAAATGCAAATATTTAATTGCCTTTAACTTGAGTGTGAACATGAGTTAAAAAGTAGTAACACCATTTTTTTAAGTAAGGCATTGTCACTGGTCGAGAGTAATTGTGGGATGCTGAACAGGAGCAAGTGATGTTGATTTGCTTCTGTGCATGTTCAGTTACCGACAACCGTTGCACAAGATTGAATACTCCAATTTGAGTGTCCCTTATGTTTTTGCATAGTCAACTTCTTCAGCTGTACAATATGAGATATTGTCATGTATGTTGCCCATGCAAATTAAGGCACGTGATTCAATTATTGATGTATTCACATCTGAACTTAGGGCCGCTTTAATCATCTTGAATTTTGCTGTAAAATTGTCTCAACGGCAGCGCCAGGACGGAATGATACACGCCAGGTTTAAGTGATCTTCCACAAAGTTGTACAATGAACCGCATTGCTGGGTTCAGCCATTAGCGGAACATTGGTTAATCGAAATGGTGAATGCTCCTGAAAGTTTAATTCTTCAGCATATATTTATGCAAAGGCTGACAAGTTTTATTCTATATTAAGATTTCTTGCAAATTTGTACAGAAGTGAAATGTCCATTAAAAACATGTTTTAAAAATCTGCCTCGAGCTAGAATTGTTTTTGCAAAGCTGCCCCGTGCTTAACCATCCTGTTTGATGATGTGCCCTATGCTGTGCCCTTTCCATGATACCACCCAAACACAAAAAAATACAGAGGACATCGTTCATTTTGAGGAACAGGGTTTGGCAATGTTGAATATCATCCAGTGCAACAAAAAATGAACTCGAGCCTGGCATTATTGCATGATCTCACCTCGCAAAGGGAATACAATCGACTCAAAAGTAGCCGGTTCACCTACAGTTGGAACTCCACAGGTCACTTTAAAGTCCATTACATCAAGAAAATGCCAAGGTCATTGATTTCAGCTGCTTGAAAAAAATTTGAAGTGAATGCCTTGCAAAATGCGGGAAACAACGAGCGGATATTTCAGTCAAGAGATTTTTCAAATAATTGGTTTATTGCGTATTTGTCTTCAACTGCGGTGGCTCAAGGGTTGGGATTTTGAGAAGGGAAATTTGAAGGGTGTCTTGTTTTTTGCCGAACCTTTTTTGTCTTTAATACAGCCGTGCTCAACAGCTGTCAACATTTTTGGACTAAAGTGTCTCCAGTAAATTGAAACCGTTTCTGTAGAACGTACAGCGAGAATAAGCAGCACCTCCTTTGCCTACATGTAAACCTTTGATACTGCAGACTGCCGCGAACAAGCATTGTTCACAAATGAACCAAGAGTACACTATAATCTTCGGTCAATCAACCAAGCATTGTTGTGCCGGCGTTTTGCTTGTGAGCCCATGGCTGGGTTTGAATAATTTCAGTGCAGCAGCCTGAAAGAATCGTGGAAACGAGCACCGTTTTGTGTGTTTATTTTTTAAACTAAAACCGTACTTTAATTTTTACTTCAAGCCCATGTGTGTGTTTTTTTTAATAGGCGGTGGTTGACACGCTTCAGCTACACCATAGTGCCGCGCACCTAGCAAACTAAAAAACTAATTTGAACTTTTAATAACTTGAGTGTTAGGCCCAAGCACCTTTCCTTCCCTCTCCTCTTGGGGGGCGGGGGGGGGTAGCCCCCCACCTTCTGCACGTGACCCCTGTGCCATCTTACCTAGGTGCAACATCAAAGCCTCGCAAACACTGGGGCAGGTAAACCAAAAGGGCCGTCTCGACATTTTTACCTTTTTGTCCGATATCATGCCAAGGCAGCTCCGAGGAGGACGACATGCAACCACAATCGTCAACTGATCATTTGGAATTTTGATTTAAAGCTTTCGTGACTGCAGGGATTCATATTCTTGGTTCTTTCGGTAAAGTCACGTAATAACTTGAGTGACTTTACCGAAAGAACCAAGAATATAATATTGACTATCTTGATTTGAAGCTTTCGTGACTGCACTAATCCATACTCTTTGGTTCTTTCGGTAAAGTCACGTAGCTATAAAATAAGAATATGAGTATGATCATATTCACGTTGGTGACCTTTTTACATTCTTACCCGCAAAAAAAAAAGCGGAATGTGTCCGGCCAACCAACTATAACCCCCCCCCCCCCACAGCTTAATGTAAGTATCAAAAGCCCTGCCTGTACACCGGTCGCTAACCACGCTCCGACTACGTCGCACGTGAACTTGTAAGGGAGCCCATCAGGTGGTGGGCCCCCGTTCTTCGACGAACAGCCCTGACCACACCACTGGGTGTGGGGGGGGGCATCATCCCGCGTCAATTGCGAACCGCGTCCCCGCTTGCCACCTCCTGTGTGGACACCCAAAGTGTCGACTCCTCGCGTGGGAGGGACTCGGGGAGTGGCGCGGGTCCGCAACTCTGTGCCTGCGGCTGTGATGAGAGTGGGGTGGGGGTTGGGGGTTGTTCAGAGCTGTGGCCAGGGCCGGATTAAGGCACGGGGGGCTTTAGGGGCTGCACCCTTGGGGGGCCTCCACCAGCTTGAGGGCTTCCAGAGATGAAGTGAACCGTTATTTCATTTGTGATTGCTTAATTGTATTCGTTTGTTGGCCTTGTAAAAATAAATTGTAGTTTAATTTAGTTTTCCTTTTGAAAATATTACTGGGGGCCTCACAGTACCTGTAGCCCGGGGGCCTACAAAATCTAAATCTGGCCCTGGCTGTGGTCAATAATTGATGGGGTGGGGGGGGGTGTTGCACAAATGTGGGATAGTTTAATGGAGGGGGGGGCACCGTGTGAACATTTCAACGCTCGGTTGTAATCTCTGATAGTCCACTGTATGTGTGTTTTTTTGGGGGGGGGGGATAGAAACAACAAAACTTTGGTGGAGATAATTTTGTTCTTAAAACCTTACCAAACAGCTTAGCCAATGCTCGTGCAAGGGTGATGACGTGGCTGACGACGAGCGCATTCGCCGCTTTGTTGCAGGGGGGTTGTTCCTGGGTTCGGGGCGAGTGGCCACCCTGGTTAATATCGTGGTGGGTGTATTAACCACGCAAAGACAAAACAAAACAGAGTGGACGTCAAAAGATCGCACGATGTTCTTCGTGTACACGGTGCTGGCCATCACAGGTGGTACACATTTGTAAATGACTCTTTTTAAAAGTTACCGAGATTGGGTAGTGCCCCACACAATCACGTCGCCTCTTACTGCGACAGCTGCTGCAGACAAAGTGAAGCTCCCGTGCGAATACTGACGGCGCGAATACCAAGTGGACTGCACTCGCGATTTCATTTGTTGTCTATGCATTTGTGTGCGTTTGTGTGTTTGTCTTCCTGTGTGTGTGTAGCGGTCAGCGCTGCGCTGCGCTACGAACCCAGCGTCCCGAGTTCGATTCCCGCTCACGGCCAACACCGGTGACGATTTTCTGAACCGGTCCTGGGCCTCCTCTCCTAGGTCGACTCAGCCTCACATGAGTGCCTGGTGCGGTGTGTAGTCAACATCGCCACTGGGGAGACAAAGGCGGCCGGGCGTGGTGCTGGCCACCTACCCCCTACGTGTGCCGTGCCGGCTTTCATAGGTGCTCGCTAACAGCACTTGCCCCAACAGTCTGTTTAGGCTAGACGGGAGATAAATTTTGAATTAAAGCTTTCGTGACTGCAGTAATTCATATTCTTAGCTCTTTCGGTAAAGTCACGTTGAAGGGAAACAATAAAATAATAAACTATATATAAAACAATAAAAATTCTCACGACGTTTCGACCATAACACAAACGGTCGTCATCAGGTGTTATGGTCGAAACGTCGTGAGAATTTGTATTGTTTTATATACATTTTATTATTTTATTGTTTCCCTTCAACGTGACTTTACCGAAAGAGCTAAGAATATAGACGGGAGATTTTTGTCTTTGTTTTTTCTTCCTGTGTGCGCGTGCGCGCGCCACACATTTCTTCACTTCAAATCCCACAACACAAACGGTGGCATTGGCCCCTTTAACAAAAACAACAACAACAAAAAATGAAACAACTTTTCCCGGCATCTCTGAATTTAGTTTGTTTGTTTGATAACCGCGCTTTTGTTTTTTTATTGAGTCACTTACAACAAACATTCACAATCCACGGTGGTACATTCAGACGGCGGCAAGCTCCTTGTTTAAATTTTCTCCGACACAACCACCCCACCCCACCCACCACCCCATCCCAACCCCCCCCCCCACCACCCCCCACAAATAAAATAAACCCAAGACGACGCGAACAGACGGGCAGGCCAGAGAGACAACCCGAGGAACGAGGCGAGTCGCACAGCCCTCGGGAGGGGGAACAAGGTAAGCGCGGGTTCTCTTCTTTTTGTGTTGGGCGTGCAGAGACATCGCTTCGCGCGTGCGCGCGCGTGCGCGTGTCTACGCGCAGCGTCTGTATGGGGGGAGCGGTCACGTAGCGGTTAGCGCTTACGCCGCGCCAAGAACACCGGGGCGAACCGAGTTCGATTCCCGCCCGCGGCCAACGCCAGTGACGATTATCTGAACCGGTCCTCCCCTAGGTGGACTCGGCCACAAACGAGTTACCTGCTGCGGGTGTGCAAACATCGCCACTGGGGGAGACAAAGGCGGTCGGGCGTGGTTGCTGGCCACCCACCGCCTCGTGTATCCGTTCCGGCCTTCATAGGTGCAGCTCGCTAACAGCGCTTGCCCCAGCAGTCTGACACAGGTTATACGGGGGATAGTTGTCTTTGTGCAGGGTCTGTAACGACGGCAAACCGAAGCTTCTCCAAATAAAGAACCCCATCCACACACCAACACCTCCTCCACCGAACAGGGTTGTCACGTAAACAGAACGTGCCAATTCGTCACTCGTACAGCACACCGGTGTGTTGGAGAGCAAAGCCACAACATTTACAATCTGAGTACGACGTTTCGCCAGTAATTACAACGAGCTTCATCAGGCGACAGCCAGATTTGTTTACGCGACAACCCTTACTAGTTGGCTGTGTCGGGTGGTGGCGGGTTTTAACGACACATATTTATGCGATCTAACCCAAAAAAACCTCTCTTATGGAGTAACCATACACACTCCCTGTGTAAAAATAAAATTTGACCGGGAATGCAATTTTTTGGTGGGTGTCTCTTAGCCACATCTAAACACCATCGAGGGGGTGGTGGCATCTGGACATTCATGACACACACGGTGGTGTGTGGACATCCATGACACACACGGTGGTGTGTGGACATCCATGACACACACGGTGGTGTGTGGACATCCATGACACACACGGTGGTGTGTGGACATCCATGACACACACGGTGGCTGTGCCCGTGCACAATCTCGCATTGGGAAAGTCTTAATTTGATTTTGGGGTCGAATTGTCTTATCACCATCATTGTTTCTCTAAGCTTCATAAGACAAATTATATTATCACCGCCTGTGTGGAATGTCTATCAAACTTGTATTTCTTTAAAGGTGTCTTCAAACAAAGGCCCCCTTGCACGTACAATTATCCTCGATTGCAAATGGAAAAACCGTGCAGTCGAGATACAAGCAGGATTATTGGCAACCGTACATTTTGTTAAATTCTCGTGTTCATCTGTGAAAGCCAAGCTTTGAACAGTGGGTCGGTACTTGGTCAGGCGAGGAATAGACTGGCCCC